AAACAAATATATTTGTTCCCTATTGCTGCATAACAAATTACTACACATTTAGCAACTTAAAGCCACAACCATTTATTATCTCACCGTTCCCTAAGTTCCACTGTATGGGCATGACTGGGTTCTCAGCTCAGTCTTGCAAGGGCAAAGTCTAGGTGCTGGCTGAGCTGGGCTCTTATCTGGACGCTTTGAAGAAGAATCCACTTCTGAGTTCATTTAGGTTGTTAGCCAAATTCAGCTGCTTGCTGGATGTCGGGTAGTGGCAGATCTCTGGAGGTCTCCGCATTCCTCAGCACGTGGCTGCCTCCATCTTCAAGTCAGCAATGGCTCAAATGCCCCTCATAACTTCCTGTTCTGCTACCAGCTAGAGAAAACCTTGCTTTTAAATGGCTACCTCACTGGGTGATAATCTCAGTGTCTTATATCAACTGACTTGGAATTTTAATTAAATCTGCCAGATCCTTTTGCAGCAGCACCTAAATTAGTGCTTGACTGAATAACCAGGGGACAGGAATCTTGAGGGGAGCATCTTGAGAATCCTGTCTGTCACACCAGGGAATCCCACTCTTTGCCCCAGACCCTGAGAGAAGACAGTTCCTCTCTACCACAGGTTTGTCAGATTCTAATCTAGCGCAGTAGACAAGTATGTGGTGCACACTCTCTCCTCTAGAGAGGCCACAGTCAGCTCTTCAGCTCATGCATACATTCTTAGCAACTTTGTATGAACTGGAAACAAGCTGCCCTTTCCTTAAAACAATGTACTGTTACCTGTTGGAAATCTGTTGCACTAACTATACAAATCTCTTGTTTACCTGGTAGTGAATGGCACCCACCCCCAGGAGCTGTGAGTGGCCTTGATCTCAGTGTGGGCTCAAATACACCCTGTGCATTGTAACCATTTGCCCACCCTGGCTATTGTCATGGAGACATTTTTTCCGAGAATCTTTCTGACATTCTTCATTGATTTATCTGTTAACGATTTGGGGAAAATTGAAATAAAATGGCTATAACTTCCTGAAAATGCTATAATGCATTATTAATACCCAGAAAAGAAAACATTTTGCCACTGGTCTGATCTAATCTGTTCGGGGTTTTTTGTTTGTTTGTTTGTTTGTTTGAGACGGAGTCTCGCTCTGTTGCCCAGGCTGGAGTGCAGTGGCGTGATCTTGGCTCACTGCAGCTTCTGCCTCCTGGGTTCAAGCAATTCTTGCCTCAGCCTCCTGAGTAGCTAGGACTACAGATGAGTGCCACTAAGCCCTGCTAATTTTTTGTATTTTTTGTATTTTTTTAGTAGAGACATGTTGGCCAGAGTGGTCTCAGACTCCTGACCTCAAGTGACCCACCCGCCTCGGCCTCCCAAAGTTCTGGGATTACAGGCATGGGCTATTGCGCCTGGCCTAATCTGTTTATTTATATTCATAAGCAAATATCCAAAATCCTCCAGGAGCAAACCCTGAAGTAACTGGAATATTAAGGCAATAATGGCAGCCACTAATGTTACTCAGTGCCTCTATCTATCTACCTACCTACCTACCTACCTAGCTAGCTACCTACCATCTATCTCTGATCTATATGTGTATACTATATACACACACACTCACATAATCTCATTTAATCATCACATTCCTTTTGGGTAGGGATTATTATGCCTACTTATACAGATAAGAAAACTAAGGCTTTGTAATGTTATATTATTTGCCCAAGGTCACAGATAAGAAGAAGCTGAGTCAGGATTCAAACCTCTGTCATCCATTTCAAAGCCCATGCTTCTAACCACTTCGGTGGAGATTAGCCGTGGAGATGAGCCGAGTGCCTGTGCTGTGAATTGAGACCTTGGGCTGTTCTGTGGTGAAGCCAGTGGCCCAGCCTGGGACAGGAAAGAAGCCAAGCCTGGAATGTCCTGGTTCTATTCATGAAAACAGCCTGAAGGGAAAAGTATGGGGGGGAATTGTTTGTGGCTAAGATAGCCAGTGGGACTTGGAGAGAAGTCCATAGAGGAGGAAAAATTGTAGGGCCCTGCATTGTACATCATGTCTCCAGTGGCTGGCACCTCGTTGGGGCTCAGTTAGCATGTGCCAGTCAACTGACTGACCACCTGATCAGCCAGACAGCATGCCTGGGAAAGCTCCTCTCTGCACTCTGCTTCTCTAATGTCTGTTTCTGCTACCACCCCCTGCCCTCTTCAATAAACTAATTCATTTGAATCATGTCCTATGCTGCAGGCCCAGTGCCAAGTGCTTTATCTGCATCTTCTTATTAAAAGTCCTCACAAGAACACACTGATAGATTATTTAATATCTGAGATGCTTCTAGGCTGGAAAGAAATAGCCACTCCCTGCTGTACTGTTTACTTATTAGACTCCATTTAACAAAAAAGAAAAAATTAAAAGCCATTTGTTCCCATAGGGGATTTGGGCTTTGATCACAAATTTGACCAACTAAAGTATCTTAAGGGCCAGGCGCAGTGGCTCACACCTGTAATCCCAATACCTTGAGAGGCCAAGGCGGGCAGATCACCTGAGGTCAGGAGTTCGAGACCAGCCTGGCCAACATGGTGAAACCCCATCTCTACTAAAGATACAAAAATTAGCTAGGCATGGTGATGGGTGCCTATAATCCCAGCTGCTCAGGAAGCTAAGGCAGGAGAATCACTTGAACCTGGAGACTGCAGTGAGGCAAGAGGCTCCATTGCACTACAGCCTGGGCAACAAGAGCAAAACTCCACCTCAAAAAAAAATATTATCACCTTTGTCTTTGTACCACTACCCCGATATCCTTGAAAATATCCTTACTTTCTGGAATCAACAGGATGCTATAGACCCATGCTGATTTTTCTTGTCTCAAGAAATGTAAGCAGCTACCCTCCAAGAACTCCTGGTTATTTTAATGGTAAACACTATTAGGCACCAACAACTGGGCATTAAGGATGTACATAAGTGTTAGTAGGGTGGCAAAGTTTCACTCAGTGACGAGAGTTGAAAACGAAAATTTTAAAGAGATGGAGTCAGCCAGGCACGGTGGCTCATGCCTGTAATCCCAGCACTTTGGGAGGCTGAGGCAGGTGGATCATGACGTCAGGAGTTTGAGACCAACCTGGTCAAAATGG